TTAATTGGAGAACGGATTATACTTGGCTCATTAAATAGTAATTTCTTTTTTTATTCAATTTTTACAGTCATTTTTTTTGTGCATGACGACTAGTGACGGCAATTTTCACGAGTTTAGGTCCGGTTTGAAGGACAAAAAAATGGGAACGAGGTTTGCAGACATTTTAACCTTTAACCCGAATCCGATCCATTTGGAGTATACATACATACATACATAGATATATATATATATATATATATATATGTGTGACATCCCGTCCCGAGATTATAAAAACGTACGTGTGAATTTACCTTTTTACCCCTAGTTCGTTACATTTACGTTTAGTGTTGTTTTGTGTGGTGTGGCATGTGTTGGACCACACACACACACTCACACACACTGTCTCTATCTCTCCCGTGATTCCCTCTCCCTCTGTCTCTTTTCTGTCACTTCTCTCTCTCTCCCCGAGTCCTCCATCATTCTTCTTCTTCCTTCAGAAAACGTACGGACAACACCAAACTCACCCAAACCATCACTCTCCGAGGAAACTAAGGACACCATCGAACTCGTGAAGCTAGTACGAGTGCAACCATACCATTTTCAGCTTGTAGATGTCTTAGTAAGGTCCCAAGGAGCCTCGGAGTGCTTCGTTGGACAAATTTGGACGTCGGGAAAGCTTGGTTCAAAGTTTGGCCGGAGCTTTCGAGACTTTTTCCAGCGAATCCACGGCGAGTTAGGGGTCGAGGCAGGTATGGATGTGTTCGTCTCGTCAATACCTTCATTTTGATATAAAGTACGTCAAAAATGGTTAAGAAATGAAGAAGTTATGACACTTTGAAGTTTACCCAGAAATTTCGGCAAAACACCCACCTCCAGCGAAACCAGTCCGGCGACGCGAGGAAGAAGACGCGCGCGTGGGCAGCGCGTGAACAGGGCGCGTGGGGGCGCGTGAGAGCTCCAAATTGAGTTCTAAAAATTGTCACGTGTTCGTGACGTCGTGTAGATCACCGTGGTATATTCACACACCCAAATTGAGCAACGTATGAGAAAGTTATTGACGAATGTTTGTGTATGTGCGTTTAATTGATGATTTTTATAATTATTCTGTTATAGGTGAAACTTGTACGGACCGCGAATGTAACCAAACTAGGCGTGAGGGTTACGAGCCGGCTACTTATCTGTGAGTGGGCAGTTATTTTTCAGTATATATATATATATATATATATATATACGTATGCTTGACGTATTTCCCAGAAAACGTATTTTAAAAGAAATACGAATTAAATATCCTGTCATATATGCATCATATTTTAATATGTGCATTACCATAATTATGCATACTATTGCATGGTGCTGAGGAGGCCCAGGTAAGCTACATTTGATATACGTACGAAATACATTTGATATACGTATGAAACATGTTTGGAATACGATTGAAATACTATGGAAATACAAATGAAATATGATTGAGATATGATTGGAATATGATTGAGATATGATTGAAATATGATGAATTATACGATTGTGATATGATTGAGATACGATTGAGATATTATGCTGATAACTATCATGAGATATGATTGAGATATGAAGAATGATATGATAGAGATGCTGAGAGAGCTCATAACCTGCACCCCCGGTGTTAGTGCTCCCGCCCTGAGCAGAGCACAGTCCTTCACGTGATGTTCACCTCCCGCACCTCATGCTCAGCTTGGATCCAAGTTAGTTAGGCCGTGGTGTACATGAGCGAAGTATTTACACTAATAGAGGTTGTGGGAGACGACAACAAGCCAGGGATGTGTTAACCACACATCACTGCAAGATACTCAGAATTATTCGGATTTGATTAGGAGTACGATAATTATTCTTAATGACTTAGCTAGAGTCTATTTGTTAATAATGTAGAAATTTTACGTTATTAATGATATTGCCTAGATAGTAAATAAACGCGGTTGAGACGTGTGTATGTATTTCCCAATGAGTGGCAAAATAGTAATATTACACCCTCGAGAGTTGTTGCTTACTTATCGAGACAACGATGATTTATCAGTATTGCGGGCTGCAGACCGTAATATTAATAATTTATTCGTGGATTCGTTAAGCAAGTAAACCGGTAGGTTATCCTATGTTAGTATCGTACTTATTCAGAGTGCTCGGTAATAGTAGAGTATGTATTGTTGCCAGCTACTTTTGTTCCATTAGATTGTGGATTTCGATGTTATTCTAGAGCATATTATGTTATATACAGTGATGAGTTGCAGACCACGCGAGGTGTTACTGAATGTGTGCAAGATATACATGATATGATGAGTTGATTATGAGCTATATATGCAGTCGATGACTGAGTTGATTATGATGAGTTGATTATGAGCTATATATGCAGCCGAGGGCTGAGTTGATTAGAATGAAAGAGTATGAGCTATATTTATAGCCGAATGTTGAATTGATTATATGTTATTCCATCATATTCACATAGAGATGTTGAGCATTCTGTTATGATATTTGGCATGACATACATTCATACTGTCTAGCATAATTTGAGATATATTACGTATATGAGTATATACTTTATTTTCGAGAAACCAGTTATTTTCCATCGGTCTGGATGACTAGAGATTACTTTTGTAAGTATGCAAAGTGGAGTGAGGCAGGCCGTTATTTATGCTGTGAGAGCAAAGAGATTATTATCAAAAGGTTGCCAAGGATATTTATCTCATGTGGGGCTAAATGATGTCACTTCTAGTAGTGTGGAAGAAGTGGGAGTAGTCAAACATTTACCTGACGTTTTCCCTGAGAATTTACCTGGATTGCCGCCAATCCAAGATGTAGAGTTCACTATTGATTTGTCTCCAGGTACAAACCTTATATTATAGAATGTTGCCTTTTGAACTAAGAGAATTGGAAATTGGTTGATAAAGGTTTTTGTTCAACCTAGTACATTACGTTGGGGGAACCCCAGTTTATTGGTGAGAAAGAAAATGGACGTTAAGGCTGTGCTTTGATTATAAGCAGTTGAATCGAGTAACAAGTGAAAACCGTTATCCGTTACCTCACATTGATGGTTGTTTGATTAGCTTCAAGGTGGTTGTATATTTTCTAAGATGGACTTGAGGTCTGGATATTATTAGTTGAAGATTATCAGTGAGGATGCCCTTATGATAACTTTCAGGACTCGTTAAGGTCATTTCAAGTTTTGGTGGTGCCATTCGGAGTGACGAATGCATCTACTACTTTATGAATTTGATAAATGAAGTATTCCAATGATATCTAGACCGATTTGTTGTTGTTGCTATTGAAAAGATTGATAAGACTAGAGCAAAGTATGCTAAACATCTTAAATTGGTATTGCAAAGATCGAGGGAACGTCGATTGTATGCTAAGTTTAGCAAATGCCAATGTTGGATGAATCAAGTAGCATTTTTAAGATATGTTCTATCTGCTTCAGGTATTCAAGTGAATTCTTAAAAGGTAGCAGAAATTGAGAATTTAGAACAACCACGAATCGTGATTGGGATTCGGAGTTATCCTAGCTTAACAAGTTATCATGGACGGTTCGTGAAAGATTTTTCAGTCATTGCCTTGCCATTGACAAGAAAAGAGGTTAAGTTTGAGTGGGATGATAATTATGAGTAAAGGTTTCAACAGTTGAAGTATTCCTCACTCATGCACGTATTTTAGTACTCCCAAAAGATAGTGGTAATCATGAAGTCTTTAATGATACTTCTTTGATTGATATTGGATAAATGTTAATGCAGCAAGGAACGAAGGGGAAAAAGGAATGATCCCAAAGTTCGAGAATCAGAATGCATGTTTATACAAGAGAATATGACATACGTGCCTAATGATGTGGAATTAAAGAAAGAAATTTTGACGATGTACACTGTTCAAATTCTGCAATGCATCCCGGAAGTACTAAGATGTATCATACCATTAGACCATTTCACTATTGGCCAGATATGAAAAGAGAAATTGCAGAGTATGTCAGTTGGTGTACAGTTTGTTAGCAGGTCAAAACAAAAAGGAAGAAACCGTTTGGTTTAATGCAACCACTTCTCGTTCACAGTGGAAATAGGAAAATATTAATATGGATTTTGTGTACAAGCTCCCGCGTACACATAATGGTTATGATGGCGTTTGGGTGGTTGTAGATCGATTTACTAAGTCAGCGCACTATATTCTAGTGAGAGAAAAGTATTCTCTGAATAAATGGGCTGAGCTGTTTATCACTAAGATGGTGAAGTATCATGGAATTCCAGTAAGTATTGTTTCGGATCGAGATCCTAGATTCACTTCTAAGCTCTGGACAGCTTTTCAGGAAGCACTTGGTACGAGATTGTTTTATGGTACGACGTATCGGAATGACACTATTATAAAGCTTTATATGGAAAAATCATGTCGTACACCTTTGTGTTGGTCAGAGGTCGGTGAAAGAGTTTTGGTGGGCCCTGAGATAGTGGAGGAGACTACTCAGAATGTTCAAGTAATAAAGTCTAACATGAAGCGGCCCATGATCGGCAGAAGAGCTTAGCAGACAGGCATGCTACTGATCGAGTATATAAGGTTAATGATTAAGTATTCTTGAAGCTATCGCCTTGGAAAGGAGTAGTAAGGTTCGGGAAAAAGAGTAAGCTGAGCCCTAGGTACATCAGACCTTATCAGATCACCGAGTGAGTTGATGAGGGATTTGTATCCTAGATTGTTCTTCGATCACTAGGGGTTATATTTGGTTGTTTTGAATTTCGGGGCGAAATTCTATTAAGGTGGGTAGGTTGTGACATCCCGTCCCGAGATTATAAAAACGTACGTGTGAATTTACCTTTTTACCCCTAGTTCTTTACATTTACGTTTAGTGTTGTTTTGTGTGGTGTGGCATGTGTTGGACCACACACACACACTCACACACACTGTCTCTATCTCTCCCGTGATTCCCTCTCCCTCTGTCTCTTTTCTGTCACTTCTCTCTATCTCCCCGAGTCCTCCATCATTCTTCTTCTTCCTTCAGAAAACGTACGGACAACACCAAACTCACCCAAACCATCACTCTCCGAGGAAACTAAGGACACCATCGAACTCGTGAAGCTCGTACGAGTGCAACCATACCATTTTCAGCTTGTAGATGTCTTAGTAAGGTCCCAAGGAGCCTCGGAGTGCTTCGTTGCACAAATTTGGACGTCGGGAAAGCTTGGTTCAAAGTTTGGCCGGAGCTTTCAAGGCTTTTTCCAGCGAATCCACGACGAGTTAGGGGTCGAGGCAGGTATGGATGTGTTCGTCTCGTCAATACCTTCATTTTGATATAAAGTACGTCGAAAATGGTTAAGAAATGAAGAAGTTATGACACTTTGAAGTTTACCCAGAAATTCCGGCAAAACACCCACCTCCGGCGAAACCAGTCCGGCGACGCGAGGAAGAAGACGCGCGCGTGGGCAGCGCGTGAACAGGGCGCGTGGGGGCGCGTGAGAGCTCCAAATTGAGTTCTAAAAATTGTCACGTGTTCGTGACATCGTGTAGATCACCGTGGTATATTCACACACCCAAATTGAGCAACGTATGAGAAAGTTATTGACGAATGTTTGTGTATGTGCGTTTAATTGATGATTTTTATAATTATTCTGTTATAGGTGAAACTTGTACGGACCGTGAATGTAACCAAACTAGGCGTGAGGGTTACGAGCCGGCTACTTATCTGCGAGTGGGCAGTTATTTTTCAGTATATATATATATATATACGTATGCTTGACGTATTTCCCAGAAAATGTATTTTAAAAGAAATACGAATTAAATATCCTGTCATATATGCATCATATTTTAATATGTGCATTACCATAATTATGCATACTATTGCATGGTGCTGAGGAGGCCCAGGTAAGCTACATTTGATATACGTACGAAATACATTTGATATACGTATGAAATATGTTTGGAATACGATTGAAATACTATGGAAATACAAATGAAATATGATTGAGATATGATTGAAATATGATGAATTATACGATTGTGATATGATTGAGATACGATTGAGATATTATGCTGATAACTATCATGAGATATGATTGAGATATGAAGAATGATATGATAGAGATGCTGAGAGAGCTCATAACCTGCACCCCCCGGTGTTAGTGCTCCCGCCCTGAGCAGGGCACAGTCCTTCACGTGATGTTCACCTCCCGCACCTCATGCTCAGCTTGGATCCAAGCTAGGTGCACAGGCCTGTCGTACAGACCACATTAGGTGGTTCCGACTCGTAGGTGACCCGCGATTATTCGCACAGCCTTTACGTGATCGTAGCACTAGAGCGTATATATACGTACACCCAGTCCTGTCGTACAGACCACGTTAGGTGGTTCCGACTCGTGGGCAGGTTCAGTTGTTCAGTTATTGAGTTTGAGATTTGAGCTCTATATGCAGCCGTACAGGTCACGTTAGGTGACTCCGGCTGCCAGATGTTATGCTATTGATGCGATTTATACCTGAGCACTTGCATATCATTATGAGGCTTTGACATGGCACATTCTTGAGCATGATTGATATACCCTTGAGCATTTTTGGCATATTTATACATACGTATATATGTTTATTTTCTGGGAAACTATATTTGTTTTACGGCGAGGGGTTAGTATATTCAAAAAAGAAAAGAAGGTTTTGAATAAGTTTGTTTTGCTGACCCACTCAACTTTGTTTTGCGCCCCTCCAGGTTTAAGATATCAGAGCTTGGTGGCTACGAGGAATCCAGCGGTGTTTTGACAGAATAGACAAAAATTAGGACTCACCTTTGGGTGTTTCATCTTAGAATTTGTATCTTTAAAGCTTCCGTACTGTGTAAATGGTTACGTCACTCTCACGTGACGGCCAGCATGCCCTCCTTCGGGACGGGGTGTGTCAATATATATATATATTAAGAACATATTGATTCATGTTTTGAAAATTTTATAATCATACGGAAGATTTATTTTTTTCTAAATCGGAATAGGTTAGATTTATTTTTAAGTGATAAATTTTATATTCAAATTTCGTGAATAAAACATTAATTGTGAGACTCATCCACTTTTTTTTTCCTTATCATTTATTGTTTAGTCTCCCCATTAAGCTGGAAAAAAAAAAAGTGTGATAATGTTGTGAATAATATGTGGATGGCCCACATAAATAGTTTGTTATTTATACACAGTATTTTCACTATTTATTTGTGGAAAATTTGTAAAGTAAATAGTGTTATCTTTGCTTATAAAACGAATGAGGGTATAAGAGCACGAAGGCTCACGGAAGTGGAAGAAAGAACAAAAGAGGAAGAGAGAAAAGAGAAGAAGAAGAAGAGAGAAAAGAAAGGAAGAGGAGAGGGGATAATAAAGAGAGAGTTATTTTGTACTCTTATTATTCTAAATTATAATAGAAGCACCACTGCTGCCCCGAGGACGTACTCCAATCACACTGATTGTAGAGGAATATCGTAAATTTTGTGTTGTGTTTCCCTTATTCCAGTGCACACACCATCGATTTTACAACACGTTATCAGCACGAGAAGCTCTCGTGTCAGTGGAAAGTATAACACCACAAATCCTGTTCACCTCTGTTGCCTGGAATCTCACAGATAAGAAAATATTTTCACTTCATCTTAAAATCTTTGTACTACTAATTTTCCTAAAGAATATATATATATATATATATATATATATATATATATGTTGTTGTATGATTGTATATCATCCTTTGCAGAAGCAAAAGAGTACAGACTCAAAATTCGTAGAAAATCTGACAACCATGTAAACAGCATCGGAACTCCAACTTGCAGACATCATATTGAAATACTTTCTTCTTCAAAGTTGTTCGTCCGCCCACTACCTACAACATATCAAATTTTCAGAAAATTCCAACGGTGCGATCATCGCAGATGCCTGAAATACCAAACCAATTTCCAATTTCTGCAGAAAATTGTACAGGCACCTTATGAGTACCAAAATGCCATTTCAGTAGCTCAAATCGAAATTGTTTCTTCACAAAAGTTGTTCGGTATCCTCTTATCCATATCATACTAAAATTTGAACTAAATCTAACGGTTTGATCTTCACATAAGGTCCAGACACTCTTGACTCCAAAACTTATGGGAACCGTTTCGAAACAGACACTCTTGACTCCAAAACTTATGAGAACTGATTCGACTTTTTCGAAACTCACCGGAGGGGGAACACCAATTGGAAATTATTGTTACTATTACTTCCTGAGTAACTAAAGGGACTTAGAGTTGTGAAATGAAAACAAAAATAAAAAGGGAAATGGGGCCAAAGCTTTGGAAAGGTACGTTGCACCATGTGAAAGAAAACAAAAAGTAAAGGTTTTTTTTGGAATGGTGCAGCATGTGAATGAATAAGAAAAAAATAAGGGTAAAGGTTTTTGGATGGTGTTACACCATCTGAAAAGAAAAAAGGAAAAATATATATTTATTTATGTGAATGGTGTTGGCTTAAAACACCTTTACACGTTCTATTTACTTTAAAGAAATTTATTTACCATGGACGGTCTTACCGCCTACTACTTTAAGTTTTGATTTATGTGAATGGTGCCGAATCAAAGCCCTTGTCACAAGCCTTATTTACTTAAATGCAAGTTATTTACTATGACTGGAATTACCGCATATTGCTTTAATTTAAGTATTGTACTTATCTTTTGTTACGATGAGTATATACAAGACCTGAAGTTCCTTGATCATATCAGAATCTGAAGTTTCTTAATCCTCAACATTGAACCTGAAGTTCCATCATGCAAAAAGATCGGGCATGAAGTCCCTTGATCCTCAAGATTAGGACATAAAGTTCCTTGATGAGTACCTTAAGTTTGAAGTGCCGCAATGCCTCAACTTAATTGTAATAAAAGCCATAAGAGTCTCAGTCTACAAACTATTAAATAAGGACCAGAAGTTCCTTATATCCATACTCAAAATGGTTTAACAGAAGTATTTATTAAGCGGATGAAATTAATTACCCGCATTCTGCTAATGAAAATGAAATTGCCAAATTTCTACATGGGGACATGTCATTTTACATGATGCAATTATTAATTCGGTTGAAACATGTTGCCAACCATTAATATTTTTCAATACAACTCGTGTTTAGGCACTAACCAAATATTACACATCTACGAGTTTTTGGTGTGTTATCTATGTGCCTATTGCACTGCCACAACATACTAAAATAAGGCATCAACACAAACTGGGAATTTATGTTGAATTTGATTCACCATCTATCATTCAACATTTGGAACCCTTAACTGGGGATATGCTTACCATGCGGCTTGCAGACTATGATTTTGATAAGATAGTTTTCCCGCCGCTAAGGGGACAAAATAACATCGTTTCAAAAGAACGATGAGAAAATATCATTCCAGAAGAATGATGAGAAAAGACCGTTATAGAAGAACGAAGAGAATTTGTCTTATTTGGATTCATGAAACAATCAATATAAAAACGAAGTGAGAATAATTGAATGATTCAACGATATACAAATCAAATGCCAGATGCATTTAATGATGCAACGAAAGTGATGAAATCACATATACTTGCTGCAAATGTACCTACAAGAATTAATGTCCCTGTTGGACAATATAGTGAGGCAGCAAATGATTTATCTGTTACACGCCTGAAGCATGGCAGACCTCAAACTCCAAATGTTCAGTCCTTCAAAAGAAAAAGAATATGGCACTACTAAACTATTGCATTCCCAAAGCATAACTGCAACATGTCGGAAGCATGACAGTCACTGTATGGATACACGTCCCAGAAAGGACAATCTGCGAACATGAGAATGTTGATGTCTCATGCATGAAGCATGATAGACGTATAGGTTCCAATGACTCAACTCCCGAAGTGAAGATTAAAATTCAAGCTCTATAATGCTCAAGAGGAGGTTATGATCCGCATTCTCTAAACTATAACTATCCTGGAAGAGATAACGTAATGCCCTTGAAGAGGCAATGGATATCCAAAGAAATGAAAAGCTTTTATGCATGCACATGCACATGAGAATATGGAATCACAAATTGATGATAACCAATGGTAATTTTGGTTTTTACAAATAGCTACTAACTTCATTAATGAGTTATGTTGATATTAAGTCCCGTTCTTTTTCCGTTAGCAAAATTATTGGCCAAAAAAATGGAACAAGGCAATTCCATTACAATTTTGTAAGAAAGTGGAAAAATTGACCTATATACTTGAATACAATACAAATAGCCAAAGGATGTTGAACCAAGGAGGTTACATTGGGCATTTATAATACAATGAAATACACTCACATAATATGACACAAGGTTACTAATTGAAACCTGAAATTATACTCTTGTAAACGAGTTCATATGAATGGAGAATTATATACGAAGGGTTGTGAGTCGCCCACATCATATCTCTATAAGTAAATCCCTCAAATATACATGGAAGCAAATTGCTCTATATAAGTTCCAAAGGAAAATGTGTCATGAAATGTAGAAAATTCATGAAGGATTCATATTGCTTGAAGAAAGCCCTGAAAAGGTAAAACATAAAATATGTACTCAATACCAATGGATGGTATAAATTGCCTTA